GAAGTAACAAAAAGAACTGATAAGATTGGGGATGACATACCCCATCTCTCACAGAAATATTAGATACTGGTTTTATGTCTCAAAATTCTGATTCCTAAACTAGGAAACTTTGAATCTAATTCTACGATACATAGAAATCATTTAGGCCATAAATTTCTTAAAACAATTTCGTAATTACTCATTTCCTTTTATTTCAGTATACATGTCATTTTTGATACTTTTTCACACTAATTTAAAAACAAGTCACAATTATTCTGATTATCTCTATAAATAAGTTGATTTTTGGAATTTCTGTTATTCTATAGTTTTTATTGATTCTAACTAGGGGAAATTATATAATTATATCTATATTTTCAACATTGAAATTGTGAAATGAAAATAGTACAATTCTCGCGACCTAGATTTTAGTAAATGTCTTTTTTTTTTTTTGAACAATAGTAAATGTCTTTTTGGCTCATGCTAATAATAATAAAAAAAAGAGTTTGTCATTCCTAACAAACAAAATGTCTAAATGAAGGATCCAAAAATGGGGAATTGGTGGATGGGTTTAGGCGACAACACACTGGTCGGGTATTGGCCAGCCGAGCTATTCACGCACTTAGCCGACCACGCAACCACCGTAGAATGGGGTGGTGAGGTTGTGAACACACGTGCTTCTGGCCGGCACACGACAACTCAAATGGGTTCGGGTCATTTTCCGGAGGAAGGGTTTGGAAAAGCAAGTTACTTTAGGAATTTGGAGATTGTGGATTCGGACAACAGTCTCGTACCGGTGCGTGACGTCAAGATATTAGCCGAGAACACCGAATGTTACAACATTAAGAGTTCGAATAGTAATGAGTGGGGAACTTATTTTTACTATGGTGGGCCAGGGTTTAATCCTAGGTGTAATTGAAATTATAAGTGTACATAGTTTGGGTTGGGAGAATGTGTAATTTTTTCAAGTATGGGTAGTGAAAATTGAATATTTGCTTATTGTTTTTTCATTTGTGGTTGTTGGTTACTTAAACCCCTTAGTAATTTATTGCATTCATAGGGAAACCGGAAACGAACAGTGTATGCAACATATGAGAATATGAGACCAAATTTTCTTTGCTTTCTAATTTGTTGCGATGAATATTTCTTAAATCACCGTAAAAATATTCTCTCGCCTATAGTAAGAAGAAAAACAAAAATGTAACAAAATTGTTATGCAAGTTGAATAGAAATATTTGTGAATGATTGTACAAAAACAAAAATCAGTTTCTCCTCACGTACAATTTGAAAACATTTTTGGTGTAGACCGTGTAGTCTTACACCAAGATTTTTTTTTTTTTTTTACTAAATGATAAATGTTTCATATAAAATGAATCGTTTCAGGTTTACAATCGTAATTATAAACCTACACAATGGTTCCACGGCAAAAAAAAATAAAAACATGGAAGCATAATCATGTAAGGTTTTCAGTCCGTCGGTTCAACAAAAACACAAAGTTAATGGAGCTAAACGAAGTGATGACGATGATCATTGTTCACACCATATCTCTTGTCGGCGTTGAAACTTTCATAACAAAACACGTAAGCGAAAATTACCAAGGTCCGAGCAAATGAAGCGATTCAATGGAGGCCCGTGAAAGAATCGTCAACGGTGAAAACCACACAACCCTTGATCACATACTCCTCTCGCGTCATGTGAGAGATGCTCGTAGAACAAAACCATGAGCTAAAAACAAAGACGAAACTTCACCAACCAATATCAGCGAATAGCGTTAGCTCCCCCTACTAAGCTCTTCTTGAGGTTAGCTAGTACAGAGCCAATTGATACTTTATAAACTACGCCAAACACATTAGTCTTGAACCTCCTCAATTGCACAAACCACAAGCAACGAGCCACCTTTATGTAGCTAAACCAAACAACATCTACACGCAACATCAATAGCTAGACACAAGGAACAACATGGCTAGACACCAACTTTCAAAACTAGATAAACCGCAATGAAGACCAAGGAGCCAATAAGAGAGCCACCACCGGCAGCATTAGCAACTCCTTCTCTACATCGCAGCAAGGAACGGAAGGCAATTTATGGGTCTCTTAGACAAGTCCTCACACTTAAGACGCCCTAATAGCAACACACAATATGATTCTGCTTCGCATATTCAATTTTCCTCGAACGGAAGAACCCGATGAAGAATGAGCCTCAACCACCAGAAGAAACTGGTGCGATAGAATTCCAAGAGAAATCAAAAAAGTTTGCGAAAGTTACAAAAAACGGAGGAGCCAGATCCGTCCAGCAGACGTCGCTCTACTACCGATCAAGGCAAGCTCCGTCACTGGAGTCGCGAAGGAAGGAGTAGACCTGCGAAGCAGATCCACGCAAGTCGACCATGAGAGGCAGGTGAAGGAAATCAGCTCTACTTACACCAAGATATTTGAGTTCAAACTTCAAAATATTCAAATCCTTTTGTTTTGTTGGTACAATATTTACATAGCAGGGCACAGAAACCAAAATGTTTATGATCAACACTACATTTAGAAGAAAAAAAAATCATCCATCTTGGATCAGTAATGAATACTACATAGAAATATTGTGATAATTCTGAAGAGATGTATGAATCGAAATTCACAATATTGTGTTTCGATTCCCAAAAGGGATTTAAAGAGGAAAATATCATGGAAATTCGTTAAATAATTTTTGTGGGAGATTTTAATACACGTACAAATTGGAAGACTTGGAAATTTATTCGTCAAGTCTTTGATGCTTAGAACTAGTGATACTTACACACAATCATCATTATTCATCAGCCAATTGCATAGCGAATGACCCCACGACGAGTTTCCACTTTCCACGCCCATTAAAGATTATGTCTCAATGACTAATTTACATTAAGCCCAAACTTGAATATAATAAGTAGG